CATCCTGAGGTCTCCTGATGTCACCTTGGGGTCCCCCGACGGCACCGCCATCCCCGGTGCCACCCACGTCACCATTGATGGCGCACCGGGGTCCCCTGATGGCAGCCGTGTCCAGCCTGATGCCACCCTGTGGTCCTCTAATGGCACCTTGAGACCCACTGGTGCCACCCTGGGGCCCACTGGTGCCACCCTGGGGTGGTCCAATGGCACCCTGGGGTCCCCCGATGCCCCCCTGGGGTCCTGCCGGCGCTACGTGGCCTCGTCCCTCGCCAACGACAGCACCGACCCCCGGCCCACCGAGCCTTGCCGTGACGGTTGGGACTACGACCGCAGCATCTACGTGGCCACCATCGTCACCGAGGTGGGGACGGGGACACGGGGAGGGGTGAGGTGTGTGGGGGGGGGGGAGGGTGGGACGATGACCACAGCGTCCATGTGGCCACCAACATCTCCAAGGTGAGGACGGGGGGGACGGGGATGGAGGAATGGAACCCGATGGAGGTGGAGTCACGTAGGGTTGGGGGGACGGAGATGATGGAGTCATGGGTAGGGGGAGATGGAGCTGATGCGGGATGGAGGTGGTGGAACGGATGGATGGATGGATGGAGGGGAGGAAAGAGGAGGCGCCGATGGGTGGAAGGAGAGGACAAGTCATCCTCACCTCATCTTCCTCCCCGTAGTGGGACCTTGTCTGCAGCTACCGGCAGCTTCGGCAGATGGCCCAGTCCATCTACATGGCTGGGGTCCTGGTGGGCGCCCTGGTCCTGGGGGGCCTCTCGGACAGGTAAAGGCAGTAGATACCCCTCCCCGTGCCTCAGTTTCCCCATGGGGCGTTGGACGGACCATCAACCAGTAGCACCCAGTGGCATCCAGTGCCTCCCCGTTGCAGGTTTGGGCGTAAGGCCATGTTGATGTGGTCCTACCTGCAGCTGGGGGTGATGGGGACGTGCACGGCCTTCGCCCCCAACTATGCGTCCTACTGCGTCTTCCGCTTCGCCGGTGGCATGGCCCTCTCTGGCTTCGGCCTCAGCATCGCCTGCCTCGGTGAGGGGACGGGGATGAGGATGACCACGGGGACCTGGGTGGGGATGAGCCGGTGGCCATGGGTGGGGATGACCCGATGGCCATGGGTGGGGACGTCACCGTGGCCATGGAGAGGGACATTGCCATGGCCATGGATGCGGATGTCCCCAACGGCCGTGGTTGGGGACATCCCCCTCTCTACAGATGGAGACGTCCCTATGGCTGCTGATGGGGACATCCCAGTGGTCACTGATGGGGACATCACCATGGCCATGGATGGGGCCATGTGGTGCGGCTGCATCTGGACATGATGGGGAGGCCACATTCACACGGAGGGTCACAAGAGAGAGGGACACCAAGTCAGACGTGTCCCCGTGGTCCCTTGCAGTGGTGGAGTGGATCCCCACGCCCTACCGCGCCATCACCGTGGCCATCACTGGCTTCGCCTACACCTTGGGCCAGATTCTGCTGGCCGGCGTGGCCTACGCTGTCCCCCACTGGCGCTGGCTCCAGCTCACCGTCTCCCTGCCCTTCTTCATCTTCCTCCTCTACTCCTGGTAGGATGCTTGGGTCCCTTGGGGAAGGCCATGGGGACACGCGGGGCTCTCTTCGTGCCTCAGTTTCCCCCTTGTTGGCTGTAGGTGGTTGGCTGAGTCTGCCCGTTGGCTAGTGCTCTCGGGGAAGGCTGAGAGGGCTGTGAAGGTCCTGCAGCGAGTGGCCAGGATTAACAAGAGAAAGGAGGAAGGGGAGAAGATCACGGTCGAGGTATGGTGGCCCCATGGTAGGGGTGGTCTTGGTTTCCCACCCCCGTCCCCCACCAACCTCTCCCGTTTCCCTCCCGCTCTCCCAGATCCTGAAGTCTAACATGAAGGAGGAGTTGGCTGGTCTGAAGTCCTCCTACACCATCTCCGACCTGGTCCGGACCCCAGTCATCCGCCACATCTTCTTCTGCCTCTCCATCGTCTGGTGGGGCTGGGCTGGGATGGGGAAGTCTGGTGGGGATGAGGAGGAGGAGGAGGAGGGAGGAAGGGGTGAGGGAGTGGAGGAATGGAGAGGTGGGTGGAGAGCTGGCGGGATGGACGGTTGGAGGGACGGTTGGAAGGATGGGTGGATGGTTGGTTGGTTGGAAGGATGGATGGTTGGATGGAAGGGTAGATGGACAGATGGTTGGAGAGTTGGTCAGATGTACGGATGGCTGATTGGAAAGATGGACAGCTGGACAATCAGTGAATCCAGCCATCCAACTGTAGCACAGCCATCTTCGCCACCATCTGAGATCCCTGCCCTGTCCCATGCGATGGTGACATCCCAAGAGAGGTCACCCCACCTCAAGGCCGCTCCCTCTCTCTGCCCCGCTCCAGGTTCTCCATCAGTTTCTCCTACTATGGGCTGGCCATGGATCTGCAAAACTTTGGTGTCAGCATTTACCTCATCCAGGTGATTTTCGGCGCCGTTGACTTCCCGGCCAAAGTGGTGGTGACTGTCTCCCTGAGCTACATTGGCCGGCGGGTGTCACTCATGGCGGCCCTCTTCTTGGCGGGGCTGGTCATCATTGCCAACATCTTTGTCTCCACAGGTGGGTGTGATGGGGTGATGGGGATCTTCCGCACTGCTCTGTCCAGCCACCGACGTCCCCACCAGTCCATCACGCAACTCTGCTTTGCTCTTCACCCATCCCTTCCCTTCTCCAGCCACGGAATTAAGCACCTACCTACCTCTCCATCCATCCATCCATCCGTCCGTCCGTCCGTCCACGTCTCCAACCATCCATCCCTACGTCCTCCTTTCTCCTTCCCACCATCTCCCCATCCCTGAGGTGGCTCCTGCCCGAACACGGAGCCCAGCCCGTCCCTCTCTCTGCCCCAGAGCTGCAGACGGTGCGCACGGCACTGGCCGTCATCGGCAAGGGTTGCCTCTCCGCCTCCTTCAACTGCGTCTTCCTCTACACCACCGAGCTCTACCCCACTCCCATCAGGTAAAACCCCGTCCTCATGACCCCGCCGTGGGGCAGGTCCCCCGTCACCCACCCGTGACACCCCCAGGGTGGTCTCTGCCCCATGTTGACCCCCCGTGGCGCCGGCAGGCAGACCGGGCTGGGCTTTGGCAGCACCATGGCCCGAGTGGGTGGCATCGTGGCACCGCTGGTGAAGATGATGGATGAGTACTACCCCTTCTTGCCCCCTGCGGTCTATGGGGTGGCCCCGGTGGTGGCAGCCGTGGCAGCCGGGTTCCTCCCAGAGACCCTCAACACGCCGCTGCCCGACACCATCGAGGAGGTGGAAAGCAGGTGGGCATGTGAGAAGAAGGGATGGAGGGTTGGAGACACGGATGGGTGGGTGGAGCGGTAGATGAATGACGGAATTTTGTGGTCGGATGGAGAGATGAACAACTGGATGGATATGCCGATGGATGGAGGGATAGGTTGGTAGACAAAGTGGGGTGGAGTTTTGGATGGCTGGATGGATGCTGGAAGGTTGGATGATGGTTGGGTGATAGAGGGTTGGATGATGGATGGATGGGTGGTGGATGGTTGGGTGGTGGATGGTTTGATGATGGATGGACTGAAAGATGGAGGGGTTTTGGATGGCGGGACAGATGGCTGTGTAGAGGCACAAGTGGAGGAGTGTGTTGGCAGAAGAACAGGTGATATGAGCGGCTGAATGGCTGGGCAGATGGATGGATGGACACAATGCTGGGCTGCTCCCCCCCCTGCCAGTGGCTGACCCATCCTGCCATGCCCTATGGACCCTCCTCCTCCTCATCTTCCTCCCTCTAGGGCCAAGCGGAAGAAGACGGATGACCCCAAAGAGAAGATCCCCCTCCAGCCCCAGGACAAGGCTCCACAGAAGGAGACCTGAAGGACCACGGGGGGGTGTGGGGGGACAGCACCCTATGCCTGGCCACCAGCAACCACCCTTCCCCACAGGTCCCCACAGCCTTGTTTTGGGGACGGGTACAAATTCGCTTCCTGCCCCACGGCTGGGGACCTCCCTGTGTGGGGCAGGGGACGTCCTTGGAGGAATAAAGCAGCTCTGGTGGGGACAACGTCTCAGGGTGTTATCTGAGTCCACCCAAGGTCACCCTCCAGTAAGATGACACCCAATAACCGTGTCCAAGGCCACCTCCGATAGGACGACGTCTAAGAGCTGTGTCCCTGAGGTGACCTCCAATAAGATGGCACCCAAGAACACTACGTTGGAGGTCACCTTCAATGAGATGACACCCAATAACCCCAAACCCACCCAATTCTTGTCCTGGTAGAGGGGTTCCCCAAATCCCAGAGAAGGGGGAGAAGGGTGAGGAGCCCCCAAATCCCACCCCAGCCCCCTCCCAGCAACCCATGGTGCTACCGCCTTGATGCCTCTTCCCTGATTCCACCCCCTTCCCGGACACCCCGGCCCTTGCTCCCACTGCCAACGTGTTCCTTGGCCCCATCATCTATCTGACCCCATCAAAAATTAACCCCCGGCTTCCCCAGGCGGAGAATGCGCTGACCCAAGCAGGGCCACCTCCGTCAGCACCTTTCGGTCCCCTTTTGACCACAAAAATCACTAAAATTTAACCCAAAGGGGCTGGCGAAGGCCATACATTGGCCCAAGTCAGGAGACCCCCCCCACGCTCTCAGGATACCCACCCGAGGGTACCCCAGGAGCTGGGTGAAGGAGGTTGGTCCCAGATGGTCCGTCTCCAAAAGCTGCCTTTTCTCCTCGAAAAAGAAAAGCAACACTGGAAAATAATAAAATAAACGATAATTCTTTATTTTCTTCCTGCCCCAGATCGCTCCAGTTTCGCCCTGTTTGGGGGGGCTTTTTTGCTGCAGCAGTGAGGGGAGGGAAGAGTTTCCCGTGGATTTGGCTCTGGCCACCCTTTGCCGGTGCTCGGTGGCCCCCCGGACACCTTTGCACTGCCCTTGCCTGCACTTTTGCCTTCTCCTGCTGGGAAAAAACCTACAAAAAACCCCACCCCAGATGTCAAACATTAACCCAAACCACCCGTTGGCCGGGTTATATAGGAGATCACCCCGATGCTCGTGGAGTGAGGATACTATGGGAGCGAGAGAAGCATTTTGGGGGTGAAATCCCTCCCTTTTGGGGCTCTGCGAGCGTGGGGCAGGCGTGCATGGCTGTGGGGTGTTCCCGGGGTCTCACGGTGGCAGCATGGCTTTCGCCAGCCTCCTGGAGCACGTGGGGGGCATGGGACGTTTCCAGGTGGCCTCGGTGCTCCTCCTGGCCCTGCCCATCCTCATGATGGCCAGTCACAACCTTCTGCAGAACTTCACAGCCGCCACCAGCGACCATCGCTGCCGGTTTCACTGGGAGGCCAACGCCACCAGCCTCGACCCCCAGGACCTGCTGAAGGTCTCGGTTCCCCAAGGTGAGCGGTGCCGGCGCTTCGTGACACCACAGTGGTGGCTTTTGGAGGCGAATGGCTCGGCTCCCAACACCAGCTGGCTGGAGACGGAGCCCTGCCGCGATGGTTGGACGTATGACCGCAGCGTCTTCACCAGCACCATCATCACTGAGGTAGGATGGCAGCGGCAGTGGGGTGGGATGTGGGGCTGGTGGCAGGTTTCACCCAATCCCCTGTGTGGTTCCCACCTTGAGGCACTGGCGAAGGGTCTGCTGTCACCACGACTTTGGCTTCTTCCAGGTGGAGCATCTTCCCCGCTCAACCCTTGGTGGAGGCACTCAACGCCCTGAGAGCTCAGGACAAGAAAGGGGGGGATGAGGGGGTTGGTGGCCATCAACAAGGGGGTCAAAATGGGGCCAGATGACCCCTGGAAGGAACTTCCAACCATGGGGATGCTGGGAAGGGTGGCCAAGTGTTTTGTGGCACCATCTTGGTGTTTCCATTGGCCATCCGTTGGCTGTTGTGTTGAGTCAACCCTACCAGCCACCACAGCCAGTTTTGGGGGGGGGCAGGAGGAAGGCCAAGAGGGGTCTCCCCCCGATCTCTGTCCCACCCCACGTCTTTGCCCCTTGGCAGTGGGACCTGGTGTGCAGCTCCCGGAGTCTGAAGCAGTTGGCCCAGTCGCTCTACATGACCGGCATCTTGGTGGGCGGCATCATCTTTGGGGGTCTCTCGGACAGGTGAGGGTGGGGGGGACACCCCCCTACCCGTGGGGAGGTGGGGCAGCATCATGGAGATTGTCTCACCTCCTATTCCTCCTCCTCCCCCCTCTCTTCCTCCTCCTCCCCCACCTCTTCTTCCTCCTCACCGCCCAGGTTCGGCCGCCGGTCACTGCTCACCTGGTGCTACCTTCAGATGGGCACCATGGGGATATGCTCCTCCTTCGCCCCCACTTTCACCGTTTATTGCCTCTTCCGCTTCCTCACGGGCATGGCCTTCTCCGGCATCCTCCTCAACAGCGTCTCCCTCTGTATGTGGCCAGCACCAACCCCAAAGTACCAGCCCCGGGCACCCTCCTGGTCCGCTCCATGTCTCCATGTGTCTCGGCAGCTTTGGAGTGGATGCCCACTCGCACCCGGGCACTCGTGGGGACCTTCATGGGTTACTGGTACACCATCGGGCAGTTCCTGCTGGCTGGGGTCGCCTACGCCATCCCTGATTGGCGCTGGCTGCAGTTCACCGTGTCGCTGCCCTTCTTGTGCTTCTTCCTCTACTCATGGTGAGGAGGAGAGGGAGGAATGGAGGCGTGGATGGATGGAGGGATGGATGGAACGATGGAGGGTTGGGTGGGTGGGTGGGTGGAAGGGGAGATGGGTGCAAAGATGGACGGACAGATGAAGTGAAGGTGCAAAGATAAAGAGAGGGTTGGATGGATGGACGGAGGGTTGGATGGTTGGGGGGGTGGATGGGATGATGGATGGACAGATGGAGGGATGGATGGATGGATGGCTGGATGGAACGATGGAAGTTTGCGTGGGTGGGTGGAAGGCGAGATGGGTGCAAAGATGGATGGACAGATGAAGAGAAGGTGCAAGGATGGGTGGAGGGTTGGATGGACAGAGGGTTGGATGGACGGATCGAAGCACGGCGAGCTGGCCGGAGGGACAGAGGCGTAGGTCGCTGGTGGCAGGGTCACATGGATGGTGGGATGATCTTTGGGATCCTGTCCCCATTTCCTCTGCAGGTGGTTAACAGAGTCAGCTCGCTGGCTGGTCATGGTGGGGAAGTCCCACCAGGCCCTGAAGGAGCTCCAGAAAGTGGCCAGGATAAATGGGAAGAAAGAGGAAGGGGAGAAGCTCAACATAGAAGTAAAAGGCTCTGGCTGGGTCCCCTGGGGCACCTCTGGGGTGTTTTATAGCGGGTGGGGGGAAGCGGCCCCACTCTCCTGGCCCTCATGTAGAGGGCCAACAGTGGGGCTCCCCTACACCCATCTTTCCAGCCCCTTAACCAACCATCCGTCCCCATAGACAACTCCCCATCCATCACCATCTGCATCCATCCCCTTATACAACCATCCACGCGTCTCTCCAGCCATCGCCATCTCCATCCATCCCATCCCATCTGCAGCCAACCATCCCGCCATCTATCCGCCATCTCCATCCATCTGACCATCTGTCCTTCCATCTGTTCCTCCATCCCTCCTCCCACCCACTCTTCACCCATCCTGCCCAGAGCTTAATTCCCCCCCTTCCCCTGCTCCATCCTGGTTCCCCTCTCTGCTCCTCCCACTGCTGCCCCCCCCAGGGAAAAGAGGGACCCCAGGGCCCCGTCCCCACCCCAGAGCCCCCCCCTCTCCCTCTAGGTCTTGAGGTCCTACATGCAGAAGGAAATGGCTTCATCGAGGAGTCACCACACGGCGGTTGACCTGGTCCGGACGCCCGTCGTGCGCCGCATCTCTTGTTGCCTCTGCTTCGTGTGGTACGCCCGGCAGTGGAGGACATCAGTGGGTGGTTGTCCATCCTTCCCCCCCACCCCTAGTCGTTGATCCACCCGTCTTGCTAGCCACCCCTCCAAACACCCACCTTAGCTGGGTCCTTACTGGAAAGGGAAACTGAGTCATGGTGCAGGACTCAGTCAACAGAAGTCTCTTGGCCCACACGTGCTCCAGAAAGGGGGACAGATCTCCTGACTGGATCCCCCCAGCCAGGGGATGGTGTGTGACCCCCACATCCCACTCCACACCTCTCCACAGGTGACATTTGTCCCCCCCCCGACCCCCGACCTCTTCTTGGCCTAGGTTCTCCACCAGCTTTGCCTACTATGGGCTGGCCATGGACCTGCAAAATTTTGACTTCAACATCTACGTGATCCAGCTCGTCTTTGGGGCCGTGGACATCCCAGCCAAGCTGGTCTCCATCCTCACCATCACCTTTGTGGGGCGACGCTTCACCCAGTCCTTTGCCCTCATCCTGGCTGGCTTGGCCATCTTGGCCAACGTCTTGGTGCCACGAGGTGAGGGCTGGGGGTGGTGGCGGCGGTGTCCCCTCATCTCCAGCCCATAAAGCACCATCTGGGAGGGCCAAAACAAGCTCAACTCATTAATGCAGTCCACGGGCTGAGTGGTTTTAGCTTTTTACAGGCAATTTGCCTGAAATTCTGGTGTTTGGGGTCTCCTCTCTCCATCACCCACCGCCACCCCAACCCAACTCCCAACTAGTGACACCAAAGCAAGTCGCAGATGTCCTGTCCTCATCCCCGCAGACCTGCGGACGCTTCGGACTGCCCTGGCCGTCTTCGGGAAGGGTTGCTTAGCCGCGTCCTTCAACTGCGTCTTCCTCTACACGGGTGAGCTCTACCCCACCGTTATTCGGTAAGGAGTGGGCTGCGGGTTGGGGGAGGTGCCGGGGTGGCCGTGACCATGCCAGGCTGGTCCCTCAGAGCCTCTCGGTGTCCCACAGGCAGACGGGCATGGGGTTGGCCAACACCATGGCCCGTCTGGGCAGCATCACAGCCCCCTTGGTGAAGATGGCGGGCGAGGTCTTCCCCACGTTGCCCTTCATCATCTACGGGGCAGCCCCCGTGGTGTCAGGGCTGGTGGCCATCTTCCTGCCAGAGACACGGGACAAGGCTCTGCCTGAGACCGTGGAGGAGGTGGAGGGCAGGTGGGACTGGAGGGACTGAAGGACAAGGGGAGGGACAGATGGATGTGTGGAGACAGGGAGGGATGGTGGGAGAGAAGGATTGGTTGGACATCGGGAGGGACAGATGGAGGATTGGTTATATGTGGGGATGGATGGAATGGAGGGATGGAGGATTGGTTGAGTGTGGTGAAGGACGGACGGACGGATGGACAGGAGTGGCTGGGATTGGACAGAGATAGGTGGGTGGATGGATAGGAAGAAGAGTATGACCACAGCTGGATGAAAGGACAGATGTTTATGAAGATGGATGGATGGGTGATGGACAGACAGGTCGAGGGGGAACAGTAACATGAAAATGCACCTGCTCCCCCCCCCAAAACCCACCCCCATCCTCCCTCTCCCACCAGGACCAAGCCCCAGAAGGACGAAGCCCGACATCTCCAGGTCCCGCTTGAGCCCATCCAGCCCAGGGGCACCACGGGGCCCTGCTAGTGCCAACCACCCCCCCGGGGGACCCCCAAGCCACAATCTACCCAGCAGACGGGAGGGGGTGCACCACCTCCCAAGAAGAGCAAAGGGACAGTAATGCCCATGGCCACCTTCTTGCATGGCCAAGGAGGGGACCCAGGCGTCCTCCTCTCCGTGCAGGGTTGGGGGATGGTGCGTCCCCTCCAACCGCCGTGTTGCGGGATGGTTTTTCTGTGCTGGAATAAAAAAACAATAAAAGCAAAAATCGTGTGAAATGTGGCTGGTGGGAGGGCACGGGGCTGGTGGTGGGGGTTGTTTTCCCACGGCCGCAGGGGGTCCTGCACAGCCTGGCCGTCCCGCCCCGAAGGCAAATATGGGACTCAGCGGGGTGCTGTGGCCTCGGCATCGCGTCCCCCCCCCCTCCACGGTCCCCTCCTCCCCTCTGCCCGCGCTGGAGCCGCGAGGGAGGGAGAGTCACACTCAAGAGCGCAGGGAGGACCCAGGCGTCCTGAGGACCCAGGATCCCAAGGACCCAGGTGTCCGGGTGCCCGGGGATCCCAAGGACCCAGATGTCCCACCACCTAGACATCCCAAGGACCCAGAGAACCAGGTGCCCAGACGTCCCGAGGACCCAGACGTCCCGAGGACCCAAGCGTCCGGTCACCCAACGCACACCGCACCCTCTTCTCCAACCACCCAGCCAGCAAGGACCCAGGTGTCCTGCCCCCCCCACAAGCCACCCCCAAGTCCCCTGGTCGCTGCCCCATCCTGCCCATGCTCTGCTGCCTCCCGCTGCCCTCCTGCCCGGGGTCCAAGGGGCTCCCAGGGATCCGGTTCAGGGCGCCCGGGGACTTTGCCTCCTGAATGATCCACCACGGATGGTGAAAACAAGCCAGAGGGGGCTGGGGGAGTCCCCATCCACCTGGGGTCAGAGGCTTCCTCGGCGAGGAGGAGGATGGAGAGGATGGGATGGCCCCAGGGGGCCGTTGGGCATCCCTGCTTGGGGACCGGTGTGTCCAACACCGGCATTTCCGCCTGACCATCATCTCCACCGACCCATAGCGGGATCTGGTCCCACTGGAGTCAAACGTTAACCGGGACCAAGGGTGGCTTTAAATAGGAGCAGGGACAAGGATGGGGACAGGGCTCTGGCCATGGGCAGCCACAGGGCCAAGGGGTGGTAGCTGCTGGCAGACAGCTCCAGGGAGTGGGATTTGGTGCTGGGAGAGGTCAGGCAATAGCTGGAGCGACGGACAGGTGAGTGGATCAATAGAGAGATCAATGTGTTGACCAGGGGAGAGAGAGACCAATGGATTGGTCAAGAGAGAGCTTAAAGCTCACTAGGTTGATCAATAGAGAGAAAGACTGATCGATGGAAAGATTATATGCCAACAGATTGAGATTAAAGACCAATAGATTGATCAATAGAGAGAAAGGCTGATCGATGGAAAGATTATAGGTCAAGAGATTGATCAACAGAGAGATTAAGATTGATACGTTGATCAACAGAAAGATTATATGTCAATAGATTGATCAATAGTGACATTAAAGCTCAACAGATTGATCAATAGAGACCGATAGACCAGTCAACAGATAGATTAAGGTCACTATATTGAGCAATAGTTTATAGGTCAATAGGTTGATTAATAGCGACAGACCAATAGACCAATCAATAGAGAGATTAAAGGTCAATAAACCAATCAATAGAAAGGTTATAGGCCAGTAGACTGGTCAATAGAGAGATTAAGATTGATACACTGATCAGCAGAAAGATTATAAATCCATAAATGGATCAATAGACAAATATATTTGTCAATAGTGGTGGAGATCATTAGACTGATTGGTGGATCATGGTTCAATAGATTCATCAATAGAAAAATATAGACCAATAGACTGATCAATGAACAGATTATAGATCAATTTATTGGTAATAGAGATACACAGACCATCAGATGGATCAATAGAGGTGGTGGAGATAATAGATTGATCAACAGAAATATATAGACCAATAAATTAAGAAATAAAGTGAGAGATTATGGACTAATTGATGATCAACACATTATAGGTAATAGAGATCTAAAGATCAATAATTTATCAATAGAGAAAGAGCTCACTGGATTGATCGACAGGGAGACCCATAGATCAATCAATAAAGGGGGCAGATCAATAAGTTGATCATTGGACCTATGCCAATCAGCAGCTAAATCAATTTATTGATAGGGTGAGGAGTCAATAGATGGGCAGAGGGACAGGCGAACAGACCCACCAGCCGGATGATGGTTGGCAGGGACAATAGAGAAATCCATCCATCGATTGATTGATTGATTGACCGAGGGGTGAAGGACGGCCAGAGAAAGGCAGAGGGGGAGTGGCAGAGGGAGGGAGGGAGGGACGGATGGACAGAGGGGCGGACGGAGGGACAGCGGGTGGCCAGAGAGACCGAGCCGGGAACCGAGAGAGTGGCAGAGAGAGGAAGAGGAGCCAAACGGCAGGTAGGGATCGATTGATCGCAAGGGATCATTGGCGGGATGAACCTATTGAGAGATTGGTAGGACAGAAGGGAGAGAGGATTGACTGATTGATCAATAATAAGGGGGAGGGAGGAGGGAGAGCAATGAGGGGCAGAGCTGATAGCTCAAAATAAATAATCAGTGATTGATGGGTCAATAGAGACTGAGACTGATAGAATGATAGGTAGATTGATCAATTAGATCGATAGGTTGATAGATCAATAGATTGATAGACAGAGAGACTGACAAGACTGACAGAGAGACTGATAGATCAATAGACACCCCAACAGATCAATAGAGACCGATAGATTGATAGTGACACGGATAGATTGTTAAGAGTGATCGGCAGATCAATAGACTGATTGATTGATAGAGGCACCGATAGATCAATAGAGCAACCAACAGCTCAACAGAAAGACTGATAGATTGGTACGTTGATAGACTGATTGACGGACCAACTGACAGACCTATAGAGAGACTGATAGATCGATGGATGGATCAATCAATAGACCTATAGGTACATTTATTGATAGACCAATAAATAGACTGGTCGATTGACCGATCAACAGGTGATCTATAGAGGGTCCTTGATTCCTTCCTCCATCTGTCCCTCCCTTGATCCCTTGGTCCATCCCGCTGCCCGTCCCTCTGTCCCACCCTCGCTCTGTCCGTTGGTCCATCCCTCGTCCTTGGCTCTTCCTCCGCTTGGCCCAGCCGCCCCTTGGTCACCCCTCGACCATTCCTGGTCCCGTCCCTCGGCCAATCCTGATCTCATCCCTCCACCCTCCTCCCACCCGCCCCTTTGCTGCTCCTCGGTCCTTCCTCTACCGTGTCCCTCCTCCATCCCTTGGCCCATCCTTGGATCCATCCCTCATCCCTTCCTCCAAACCACCCCTTGGCCCTTCTTTGGCCAGCCCTTGGCCATCCCTTGGCCCATCCTTGGATCTTTCCATTCACTGACCATCCAAACCACCCCTTGGCCATTCCTAGCCCATCCCTTGGCCCATCCTTGGATCCAACCCTCGCCCCTTCCTCCAAACCACCCCTCAGCCATTCCTTGGCCATTCCTAGCCCATTCTTTGGCCATTCCTAGCCCATCCCTTGGCCCATCCTTGGGTCCAACCCTCGCCCCTTCCTCCAAACCACCCCTTGGCCGTTCCTTGGCCATTCCTAGCCCATCCCTTGGCCCATCGTTCAACCTCTTCTCCTCCTTCCACCCTCCAGCTGACCTGGGCCCCCCCCAGCTCCATCCCTCATCCCACCATGACCTTCGTGGAGCTGCTGGCCCGCCTGGGCGGGATGGGCCGCTTCCAGGTGACCTACGTGGCCGCCTTGGCTGTTCCGCTGCTCATGCTGGCCAGCCACAACCTGCTGCAGAACTTCACCGCCGGTGTCCCCGAGCACCACTGCCGGCCTCGGCCCGTGGCCAATGAGAGCACCGGGGACGTCCCACTCCTCGTCTCCATCCCCTCCGACAGCCACCACCGTCCCCAGCGTTGCCGCCGCTACGTGGAACCCCAATGGCACCTCTTGGAGGTCAACGGCACGGTCAACGGCACGGCCAACGGGGCGGCCACCGAGCCTTGCCGTGACGGCTGGACCTACCGCGACGGCGTCTTCGCTCACACCATTGTCACCGAGGTGAGGGGTGCCCCACAGCCCCCCCGGGCCGTGGTGGGGACCCAGGCGTCCGGGTGTTGACCCCTGTGTCCTCTCCTGGTGGCAGTGGGACCTGGTGTGCGAGTCCAAGAGGTTGAGGCAGGTGGCCCAATCCATCTACATGGCCGGGATCCTCCTGGGCTCCGGACTCTTCGGAGTCCTCTCTGACAAGTGCGTGGCCACCCCGGAGCAGTACTGGGCTGAACTGGGAAGGGGAAGAGGGGAGGGGTATGCACAGGGATGTCCTCCCGTCCCTCTGGCCCCAGCGTCCCCAGTGCCCCTGGGGTGGGTCTGCCCCAGTACAGCTTGTCCCACTGTCCCCACTGCCCCCAAGTCATTCATCCCAGTATTCCCAGTGCCCATATTCCCTGTCCCAGTGTTCCAAATGCCTTGTGTCCCCATCCCAGTGCCCCACATCCCTCTCTCAGAATTCCCAGCACCCCATATCCCCCCCATACCAGTGCCCATGTCCCCATCCTAGTGGCTCCGGCACCCCGCAATCCCCATCCCAGTATCTCCAGCACCCCATGCCCCCCATCCCAGCACCCCCAGTGCCTCGTGCCCCTGTTCCACCGCCCTATATTGGCATCCCAGTCCCCATGTCCCCCATCCCAGTGTCCCCAGCGCCGTGTCCCAGCAGGTTCGGGCGCCGGGCGCTGCTGACCTGGTGCTACCTGCAGCTGGGGGCGACGGGGGCCGGCACCGCGGCTGCCCCCACCTTCGTTGTCTACTGTCTCTGCCGCTTCCTGGCGGGCCTGGCCATGGCTGGGGTCTCCCTCAACTCCGCCTCCCTCTGTGAGCTGGGGACCTGGGGTCTGGGCTTCGTCCTACCACCCCTACCCCATGGGAAGCACCCAGGCACCAATCCCACCACCATTGACCCATGGGAGGGACGCAGGCTCCACTGTTGACCCTTGGGAGGGACCCAGGCTCCAACCCTACCACTGTTGACCCTTGGGAGGGACCCAGGCTCCAACCCTACCACCATTGACCCTTGGGAGGGACCCAAGCTCCAACCCTACCACCGTTGACCCTTGGGAGGGACCCAGGCTCCAACCCTACCACTGTTGACCCACGGGAACGACCCAGGCTCCACCGTTGACCCACGGGAGGGACCCAGATACCCCGTTTTGGCCCTATCCCATGGGATAGACCCCACCACCCTTGTGCTGACGGTTGCCCTGCAGGCATGGAGTGGATCCCGACGGAAGCCCGTGCTGTGGTGGGCACCATCAACGGCTACTGCTACACCTTGGGGCAGTTTGTGCTGGCGGCCGTGGCCTTCGGCGTCCCTCACTGGCGCTGGCTCCAGCTTGTCGTCTCCCTCCCCTTCTTCTTCTTCTTCCTCTACTCCTGGTACGGGGAAGCCAGGCGACCGGCCGGCCATCCTCCTTGGTTGCGGGTAGACAAGGTGGATCTTGGGGTGTCTGGGTTCCTGAGGGGTGATGGTGGGGACACCTGGGTCCTCCATGGGTGGTGGGGGGGGTAGGGTGGGTGCAGGGACCCCCTTGGGTGCCTGGGTCCCCCGTAACCCCTCTTCCCCATCCCCCCCCCAGGCTGTTCGTGGAGTCAGCCCGGTGGCAGGTGATTTCGGGGAGACCCGACCTGGCCCTGAAGGGGCTCCGCAAAGTTGCCCGCATCAACAGGAGGAAGGAGGAGGGGGACAAACTCAGCGAGGAGGTGCTGGGTGGTCCCAGGGCCTCCTGGAGCCCCCCCCCCAGATCCCTCTGATCCCCCAGATGCCCCCCAGATCCCCTTGGTCTACCCCCTA